GAACTTGGTCCCAACCCCTTCAAAAAGAGTTTCTTCAATGGAAGAACACCAGTACAACGGGGGCTCAAGTTCACATTTGTGTTGCGAGCCCTCCCCCAAAATATGGAGCCAGGAATAAAGTACAATAAGCTGTACAGCTCAGCTGCAGTGCTCAGGAGGGAACTGCTCCAGTCCCTGGTATCCAAAAAAAAATAAATTGTCCCACTTTGTTCTTCTTAAATAGTTTTTGACATGCGCTGGACTGATAGGGATATCCGGGTCCTAGGTATCTCCGCCGCTTCCTTAGCCGCCTCATTTCCTTTGAGGCCGACGTGACCTGGAATCCATAGAATAACAACCTCGCTTCCATTAACTTGTATGTCATTTAATTGTTCGTTGTATCTAACCAATGGGTCGACAGAGAATTTATTCTGGGCAGCTGAGACTACGCTGAGCGAATCTGTACATATCACAAATTTTCCTTGCCCCATACGTTTGATCTCGCCCAGCGCTTACAATATGGCATACATCTCTGCTGTGAATATGCTGGCCGTCCTCGCGAGAGAGGCTTTCTTAGTATTCTCCCTCGTATATACAGCACAGCCGACCCCCTCGGTGCTTTTTGAACCATCAGCATACAAATATCTTGTACCTGCCATTGTCTTTGATGGAGAGGAACATAGCTTTGTAAACTTGAGAGGGGGTCTCTTCTTTCTTCTTCATCGCCATATCGACCTACGGGTTGGCGAGGGGAGCGTCAACGGTTCCGTTTTGGCCACAGTAATCGGGAATATTTTATCTAATCGTACTCCCCTCGAGACCATTAATTCCTTTAATCTAACTCCTATCGGTCTCGTACGGGTTCTCAGCCGCCCATACTCCTCGGCTTTTTCCTCATCAAACAGTATTTTATGGAGAAAATGGGATTGCTCGCCCCATATACTTCCACTGTAATTCAGCATCAGCTGGTTCCTCTTTTCCGCCGGAGGCAGTACTCCACCCTCCACACATCCACACATAAACCGTTGACGGGGCTTGTTCGGAAAGCCCCAGTAGCAATCCTTATACCAGCGATATATGCTCTATCTAATTTCTGCAATCTGCTTTTCAGTCAGCGATATTGGTCTATAGCTGCTGGGGGCGCTTGGATTTTTCCTTATTTTAGAATCGGACCACAATGGTCTCTTTCCAGCTGTCCGGGTATTCACCTGCTCCCATATCTCGTTGTAAAATTCTAATAGTTTCATTTTAGCGGGAGCGGGTAGACTCCTTATAAGTGCATTTGAAATGTTGTCACTACTCGGACTTGTATCTTTAGTATTTTTTATTGTTGTTTCTAATTCGGCCATTGTCAAGTCTAAGTTGACCTGTTCCGTAACACTTCCTTCAAGGTCCAATTCATTTCCCAACTCCAGCCGTTCTTTAATTTGTTTAAATCTCTCTGAATATGACCGATCGCTCGAGACATTTGCATAATGGACTGCGAGTGCTCGGCCATCTCTTTGACATCAGTTACCGTTGATTTTAAGGATCGGAACCATAGGTGGCTTGTATTCCCCGGCTATGGTGTTAATCCTTCTCCAGACCTCCCTCGTGTCCATGTCGCTTGCTAATTCTTTTACATATTCTGTACGGAGGCCTGTTTGGCCGCGTTGATAATCCTTTTTTTGCCCTAGATATTTTGAACCTGGTTAGATTTTCCTCCGTCGGATACTTACTAAATCGTCTAAAGACCCGCTTCTTTTCTTTATTGGCCGCCTCGCACTCCTTATTCCACCAGGGGACCTGTCTACATTGTCTAGGTCCCCTGGTCGTAGGTGCTGATGTTGCTGCGGCGGCCTTAATAGCGTTTGTAATTTCATTAACGTCAGTGTCTACCTCCCCCGTTAAATCTGGGAGAGTCACTGACGTTACATAAGCGGGCCAATCCGCTTTCTCCAGGTTATATCTAGGACTACGGTTCCAAACGAATGGAGCTGTTTAGCGATGGGGAAATGATCACTGAAATATAATGAAATATAAATCCCATGTCACATCCGGAACTAGAGTCGGAGAGGCAAATGTCAGATCGATAACGCTGTATTTTCCATTATATGTATTAATATGTGCTTGTTTCCCCATATTCTGTAATGTTAAATGGTATCATCAACCATTTCTTCTATTTTTCTGCATATCAGTTGACTCTGAACCTCACTACACGTTGTGTCCGTTGAAATCTCCCATTAAGAGAAAGGGGTAGGGTAATCCATTAGTTATTTCTTTTACTTCTTCATGATTCCAATTTCTATCTGGTAAATAAAGTGAACAGTGTTATTTCCTGGGGCATTTTTATTCTGGCAGCTACGATCTGAACGTTATTGTTTTCTATGTATATTTCTTCTGACTGTATTTCGTTTTTTACATAAATAGCCACTCCCCCATGTGATCTTCCTCCATGGGCTATTGTTACTCCCCGGGTGTAGGTACAATATCCTCTCAAAGAGAATTGTTCCCCGGGGCATAAATGGCTTTCTTGGAGGGAAATGGCTATAGGCATAAGTTGTACGATAATTCTTCGTAATCCTTCTACATGTGTTTTAATGCCTCTCAAGTTCCATTGGATTATCCCGTTCATTATTATTTATGTGTGGCCTCCCTATTATTACATTCTTTCTTCGTTGCTGGATCTGGCTTCCGGGGTCTCCCCTTTGGCCAGCCCAGTTTTTTCTTTTTCTTCTTTTTTCCGGAAACTGGCGTAAAGCCTTCGTCCCGGTTGAGTCAGTTGATGTTTGACTCACGGAATCCATCTCCCAGCTATGCCCCATGGATGTCTCTTCCACAACATCCATTAACTGTGGAGACCTTAAAGAGATAAGGGGGGCTCCTCTAAAGGGAGATGGGGTCGTGACACCGTGTCTGGCATCAACTGTTTTTGTTGTGGGGTGGGTATCTCCACCCCAGTTGTTGAAGGATGGGTTACCTTCTTCAAAATTGCCCCCCCCCCCCGGCTGGAGGAGTGCTCTGGGTTTTCGACCACGGCAAAGTCGGGGCCTTGATTATTACTGGGGGTGATTGCTCACCCATGGTTTTTGCCACTGACAAAAGTCAGTGGCTGGGTGCCTTTAGTGGCGATGGCACCCGAAAATTGATATACTGGCGGAGGTTGCTCGGTTTGAATGCAAACCTCCTCAGTTATTTTTTGAGCCCTAGTTTGGACAGCCGCTCTCGCATAGCTCTTTGTGCTTTTAATGAACGCATCTCTTCTACGGCATCATTTTCTTTTCGGTTTTTAAGTTTTGGATCTCCTTTTCTTCTTGTAATACAGGGCACGCACTAGATCTAGCATGGTGGTGCCCTTTACAATTTATACATGTTGGGAACCCAAACACGGCTGCCCTTCGTGAACTGGGAAGGAGGCCACATGAACAGTATGTTTGTTCCGATCTACATCTCATAGCCGTATGCCCGAACCTTAGGCAATTAAAGCAGCGCATTGGGACCGGTACATACGGCCTGACCGGGAATCTTTGAAACATCGCTTTGACACTGTAGGGGGTGTCGGCGTATCAAATGTTAGAGTCAGCGTGGCTGTGTCTGCGAGTCCTTTCTCGGTTTTCCTTTTAACACGCGTGACATCGGTGACCCCTTGTGACGCCAATTCCTCTTTAATTTCCTCCTCTGGGCAGATCATTAGATCTCGAGCTGAGATCACGTCCTTGGAGGAGTTCAATCGCTTGTGCGGCGTCGAAGTCACTGGATAGGTTTCCCCTAAACTGTCTTCTCAAGCATTAGTGCCGATAAACTGTCGTCGATTTCTAATAGCAGTTGGCCAGCAGCAGTCTTTTTTACATTCTTGATTCGGCCAAGCTGCTTACGTATCATTCGACACAACTTGATGGGAGATTCTCCTTTAAAGTCACCCTCTTTCTTTTCTAAAATTCTAAATCTGGCGAAATTATTCCTCTTCCTAGCCCAATCTATTTCTGTGTGTCCTCTATTATTTTCTCTCTCCTAGTCCGGTTTCTCTTCAGAGTGGCAGCTGGATCAAACGGCTGCAAAGTGGTAACGTTCGTGAGTCCGTTATCAGTAGTTGCCTCTAGTCGGGTGGTGCCACTCGCCTCACCAACACCGACTGGATCCAATGAATAAGCATATGGATGATCCCTATCCACGGGCTTACCGGCATTGTGGTCTACGGCCTTATTTAAATGAAAAGGAGCAAGCTAATTTTCAGGATGGTAGGTAGCTAGCCTATCACCCCTAGTCGGCCAGTGGGGCTGCCACTAAGGTAGACCGACATACCTCCCCCTCCCTGGGACGCCTAGGACAGGAAAAGGAAGAGATTAGTTTTGGGAAAGGGTAGTTACGGGAAAAAACGGTTATACAGTTAGTAGATGGAATGGGAAATTAAGGATAGCTACCAGGGTGCATGGATGCAGTTTAATCTCATGTCCGGGAGGATTGGGTTATTCTAGGGGAAATTTAGCTCTGATCTTGAATAGTTATCAAGCTGGGAGGCTCAGCTTTATACAATTCTGAAAAAACTAATTAATTAATTTAAAAAATAGGGGTAGTCATCGAGAGGAGCCTATAAGGTGTGCATTTTAGACTAAACTGTATAAAAAACACTCCTTTAGTCAAATAAAAAATTTGAAATTTTCTCAGTGTTGAATTCAGAATTAAATCTATATGAAATGAGCTAGCTTTTCAACTTTTCAAACTTAAGGGGGAATTATGCCTTTTTAACTCGTTTTGGTTGAGAAACAATCACATAAAAAGCGAAGACTTGTACCATTTTCACTGTGTATGTCTGGTTCTATGGGGTTCCATTTTTTCTTTCTTCTTGTATTTGCTCTCTTCATCTTGGTCTTTTTTGTGTGAATATGTTGATGGTGTGAATCAAAAGATTCTGACCAAAAATAATAATAAGTGAGCCAGGGATGATCATTAATAATTAAACCCTGTATTAATACATTCATCTTAACAATTTAAAACGCCTTATATTTCAATTTACTCTATTATATTGTTTTATTTCTTTATAGATGACTGACATAACTTTAAAAGTAGGGGATGTTTCAATTCATGCACACAGAGTGGTACTTGCTTCAACTAGTCCCTATTTTTATGCAATGTTTAACGGTGAGTTATGCCTTTTTAATGTGTGTTATCTAACACTACACTTACAGTTTAAATAAACATATTATTATTTTAAATAATAATGAGTTTTCACTTTAGTTATTCAGAATTATTTCATTAGACATAGGTCTTCACTTAGTCCTTTTTCAGATGACATGGCTGAAAGGGCGTCAAGGGAAGTTGAACTTCATGAGGTGGATGTCACCGCATTGCAACGACTAGTCGATTTCGCTTATACAGGAGGGATTCTCATAACTGAAGACAACGTTCAGGTAAGTGAACTTCCTTCGAACGAATTTCCTTGAATACTGCATAAGATAAACTAGGAATTATTCAGGTGCTGCTTCCGGCTTCGAGTCTATTTCAAATTTGTTCGGTTAGAGAGGCATGCTGTGAATTCTTAATGAAGCAACTTCATCCTTCAAACTGTCTTGGAATCCGAAGCTTTGCAGGTAAGTAAATTTATATCAATCGGATGAATTTTTTATCAGAATTTGAAATTAAATCAAAATCGCAAATACAATTTTCTTTGTGTTGTAAGAGAATATTGAATCTAAAAATAAAAAAAATATTAAGTGAAGTATTGCTAGATTTTTATATTGTCTACTATTAGCTCTATAATAGTTTATAAGATGAAAAATTTCAACAGCACATTATCTCAATGAAATGTAACATTTAAATTATTTGAGGTGTGAAATAATTGTAATTGTTAAATTTAAAAATGATTTAATTTTAAATTAAAACCTGTGAACTCCTAAAAATTTCTGTCATTTGCGTAGTTCAATATTTTCAATTTCAAGGTGATAATTATATTTTTTATTTTTGAATATAATTTCTAGAATAGTTATAAATTGCATGTTAAGTACATTAGTTTAAACTTGAAAAGACCAATTATGTATTTCTTTATTAACATATTTCTTATAGATGCTCACGCATGTAAAGAGCTTCATAGTCGCTCTCATAAGTTTGCTTTGAGAAATTTCAAGGAAGTAATGAATACGGAAGAGTTTCTTCTCCTTCCTTTTTCGGAGGTAAATTAGCCTAGTGGAAATAGTATCCTTTTTTTTAGAAATAGGCATAGTTAATTTAAAAGATCTTAGTTTATTAGAAAATGCATGTTGCTTCTTTTGCCAGGTAGAAGAGTTAATTTCCAACAACCAGCTAAACATTGCATCTGAAGAAAAAGTATTTACTGCAGTCCTCAACTGGGTCAAGCATAATGCAGCAGAGCGAGTTCAGTATATAGCAAAGGTATAAAAAAATTAGTATCTAGATTAGCAGGCTGTGCTGACCAAATACAATCTCCCTTGACAATTAAAACATGTTTCTACAAAAATATTCAGGCTATTATTTAAATATTTCAGCTTCTAACACATGTACGATTACCATTGATGTCAAGAGAATTTCTAATGTCAACCGTCTATACGGACACACTAATAAGAGATAATCCAGAATGTAAAGAATTGTTGTTTGAAGCAATGAGATACCACTTGATGCCTGAACAGCGATCCCAATTTGTAAGTGAAAGAACTTTGCATCGACAGCCTGAAGGGATTAAACATTACGTATTTGCCATAGGTAATGTTTTGTAATCGCTATGTCAAAATATATTGGTGATAAAATAACATTTAATATGTTTAACAGGTGGAGGAAGCCTATTTGCAATACACAATGAGTGTGAGGTTTATAATCCAAGGGCTGATCGGTGGTTTCCAATTGCTCCGATGAACTGCAGAAGAAGCCGCAGTGCTGCAACAGGCCTGGGAAGAATGTTATATGTTGTTGGCGGGTAATTTTTTTTTTAACACTTTTGTAAACAATAAAAACACTATTAGGACATATCATAATTTTTGACAAATGATAACCAGCACACCTTTTGGAATATTTTTTGTTATTTTTCATTTATTAAGGGCAGGCAAATTACATTGGTCATTGCCAGCCCTTTCTGTCTTTCTCGAGTTTTAATCTTACTAATTTCTTTCCTATTGCTAGCCTCTCTGTACCTTAGCACTTCATCAATTGTGGATAAAATAACAAACACATACCCAAAAACAAGATGAAACATAATAGCATTCTTAAGACCCCAGATTACCGATATTCCTCAGAAGAGTAATTAGAGAGCAGCTTGTTCATGCTAATAAATTACATTCACATTACCCTAGAGCACTCAATATTCCTTGGGATAATTACGAATAAACCCTGCCATACACACTAATGAATTACATGCACACATAACAATTCATTCACACTACCCCAAAACAATCGATATTTCTCAGGGATTTTAGGGATTGGCCTTTCCATTCACACAAATAAATACATTCCTCCAATAAATAACGCATATCAGAATTACTCAGTTTTTTTTTTTTTTTTTTTTTTTTAATTTCTCCTAGTAGTCTAATATAAATGATTACCAATGACAACTAAGTTGCCAATGAACTGTGTGGTGAAAAAAGGTATTGTCCTGAGGTCTCTGTGCATACAATTGTATTTGTTTCCTAAAATAAAATTTAAAAAAAATACATGAAAAAACACATCAGAAAGCATATAAAGTACAAAGATCTATATGCAATTTAAAATATTTTTGGCTGTAAGATATCGCGATCTGTGCCCGCTGCCATGCCCCAAGGCCAGACATAGGTCAATAGGTCTTTCGGGATGTTGTAGTTCTTTCTTTGCAGTCTTTTATTATTTGTTCTATTGTGATAAGTTATCCACAAATGGGCACCTGTATGGTCTCACGCCCCCCTCCCCCATTAGAAGGTGCCTGTGTGTAACTTACGTATGACCTATGCACAATCTCATAATTAAGACCTTTTCCCTTCTAGGCCCAACCGCTGCAGGCCGTGGACCAATATCTTTTTTAAATTTGTATAATTTAGAATTATTTATTTCGGTCCAGCAGATTTTGTATAGCTTTCCTAATCATTTTTTATAAATCTGATGGACATACAGTGTGGGTGGGGTTGTGTGGTTCCATCGTGGCTAACTTTATTGCCTTCCTAATCTGATTGTTCATTCCCAGTCATTTCCAATTAAACAAAAAATTTTACTCAATTAAAATTATTTTATTTATTTAGGCTTTATTTTTTATGTTTACAAATGATATACAAAAGCTTAATACAAAGAGAATGCACTCTTTCATCATAGGCCATTAAGACAAGTCACTATAGTTGACGATTCACACACAATTAAATTAAATTCAAAACTACAAATTCTCTACAATTGATATGAACAAATTAAAATGATACAAGTTATACATTTTGGATAATTTCCTTAATCCCTTAATCCTTTAAGAAATTAATGAATTTTCGCTCAATCTTTTTTTTTATATTATTATTATTATTTATACATTTAATGGATTTTTATCACATACTTTTAAGCTTTCTCACTCTGACTATTGAATGTCATAATCTTCAATCTCTTTTCTTGAAACTGCTAAATATCGTCAAAACCACTGCCTTTGATGGCGCCTCTTTTCCATGATCGTATCTTTTGTACATTGTTTCTGGGGCAATGGTGACAGACTGCTCTTAAAAATGAAATGATATATCTTTACCTCATTGCCCCACTTAGATTTACAATTTGTATACAATTACAATAAAAATTGATTTGTTTTTGTATTTTTTGTATTGTATTGAGGCGTAAGGTGATGATTAGAGCTAGATTGTATTGTCTCTAATCATCCATGCTCTCACATTTTTCATCAGAAGGGTTACTGTTTAAATTTTACAAAGAACTAATCTTTATGTAAGGTATTGGTTGAAATAAAAAAGCCAGTGCCGAGCGGGATTCGAACCCACGATATTTGGCTAAATAAGCCGCTGCTCTACCACTTCTATCGTGACTTCGATCCATGTATTTAGCCGAAGGTCGTGGGTTTGAATCCCTCTCGTGACACTGGCTTTTTTATTTCAACCAATACCTTACATAAAGATTAATTAATTGAAAGTAGTTATTTGGTCAATCTGACCACGAAATCTAATGGATTGCAAAGAACAACCATTTAGGTCGGTGAAATACCTAATTGTTAAACTAATCGGCACTTAATTGCTCTACTAGGTCTGTCCACTCTCTCGCAGGTTTCCTGCAAATTTCCAAATCCATGAGAGAATAGATCTAACTCAGTAGAGTGATCAAGTGATGATCAGTTTAACACGTGCTCACTGACTTGCAGACCAAAATCCACCACAAACTTTACCATCTCTAACAGTCAAAACCAACAATACGTGGGCAATGGTGTTTGTAGATGATGAAGCTACAAGTTTGAAAATAATTGTCATTTTAAAAAAAAACTAATCAATCAAAACAATATTTGAAAATAGATCAATATTTTCAAGTTGAAATTTTCTAAAAATAAAAATATATAGTCTTATATAATATTAAATAAACTATGATTAGGTACTCTCTTTCTCAAACTATGAAAAATTCCAAATTTTTGAGTTAAAAAGTAAATTTTTGGTGAATTTTCAGTTGTTCTTTTTCAGATATGATGGAGCAACAGATCTAGCAAGTGCTGAATGTTACAACCCCCTTACAAATAAGTGGACAAATATTACATCAATGGGCACAAAACGGAGCTGTTTAGGTAAAATTACTAGTTTAAATTTAAATACAAAAAATTATTTGAAGATAAATTTTACTAAAACAATTTTAACACTAGTGTAGTTCAAAGCTACAGTGAAATTATCAATTTTTATATTGTCTACTATGACAACAGTGAAATTTTGGTTTTTAGTTGCAATTTGGTAAAATTTGTTCGCAATATGATTAACAAATTATATTTTTTAGTTAAATATATTTTGCAACTTTTATTATCAAGATTATCAAAATGACAAACATTGAACAATAAATTTGAAAGATTTAATACATAATTATAGTAAATGGGTTTTCTTAGGTATGTGCAGTTTTGATGGACTCGTGTACGCTTGTGGTGGGTATGACGGTGCTTCTTGCCTCAGCAGTTTAGAAAGGTATGACCCTCTAACAGGAGTGTGGAGTTCCTGTCCTGCTATGAGCACAAGGAGACGATACTGTCGTGTAGCTGTCGTAGGTAAGTCATGATCTCTACATACTTAATCACGGTTTCACTGAGACTTTTCGTTTTAGACAACTGTATATATGCCCTTGGTGGTTATGACTCGACAAATTATCAAAGCAGTGTAGAAAGACTGGACCCAAGAGAAGGGCTATGGACTGGTATGCCTAACATGACTTCAAGGAGGTCGAGCTGTGGTGTCGCTGCTGTCGACAACATGATATACTGCATTGGTGGAAGCGATGGTACTGTGTGTTTAGCAAGTTGTGAAAGATTTGACACAAGGAGAAATGCTTGGGAATCAGTTGCATCTATGCATTCTAGAAGGTAAAAATTCTATAATTTTTAAACAAGAAATAAAAAAATTTAAAACACTATTTTCAGGTCTACACATGAGGTGGTTAACTGTAACGGTTCATTAATAGCTCTAGGAGGAAATGATGGATCATCTTCTCTTAATTCTGTCGAATGTTACAATATACAAGCAAATAAATGGACTATCTTAGCACCAATGATAACCAGAAGAAGCTCTGTAGGTGCTTCACTTCTCGAATGCTTTAAGCTGGAACATATTGTTCAAAAATTACCAAGGAATGCTGTTTAAGCCTAGAAAAACAATACTTTTAATTCTTAAAGTTTAACTTTTATTCTCAACAAAAAGAAAAAACTGAAGCAATTATAACTCAGGGTGGCAAAAAGCCACGAATATAGAGATATACATTATAATATTTTATCAATAACTTGTAATTTTCAAACTGCCAGTAAAAGAAAAGAAATGAGGACCAACAAAAGTCATTATCATTTCATTTTGGACTTTACACTTTTATAATGTAAAACTAAAATATAACGTTATAAGCATTAACAAAGAAATGTCTTTATTGCAAAATATTAAGATAGTTTTAAGCTTCCATTTTTATAACAACTTCAAAACTTGTAAATAGAACTTTGTATTTTTACATAAAATTTTGTTTAAAATTAAATTCTTTTTATACATTACTGGACATATTCCTTGATTGTAGATAATTCTAGACTGGTACTAATAAACTTTACATATTTTTGTTTTCTACAAATATTTTTTAATATTAAACTATAGTTATTGTTAGAAATGTTATTGTACCTGTCAAATCCTTAAATTAACAATTACAAAATAGAAGTGTTGGCTGGTAGTACATCAAGTATCTAAAATTTAACCGGCTATATAATTAATACTTTAGCCAGCTTGGTAGGTTTGATTTTTTTTTTAAATTAATACATAATTTTTCCTTTTTTTAAATTTTACATGTAAGAAGAAGTAGGTAAGTCAATTTGGCCCAAAAATGAGAGAATGTGTTTTTCCAATTGAGAGAAGCCGTAGGTTTGTATGGGAGAAGTGAGTAACTGTCATCCTAAGCCATAATGTCGGATGCAACATTGGTTTATGCTTTTTGGATATCTGAAAGTTCTAGAACTCATTTAAGTCAAGTCTGTTTATCCAATTTTTCTCAACAGGTGATGAACAAACACTACTCACCTAAAAATGAAAAGAATTCACCTACACTTAAATTTAACTATTCAAAATGTTTCACCCTTTACAGACAATTTTACTAAATGCTGATTTTTCACATCATTGCCACAAAACAATAATATTTATAACATTAATGAAAACAACCCCCATGGTTGCCCTGGAAGTCCTTCTAAATCTACCATCTTTATCTTTATCCAGGGAGAGGCCAGAGTCACAATTCAGGCTAATGCAGGTACAGGCTCCAATAGCCTACTAACATAACAAGAAGCAACTAAATCTTTGACGAGGCTTCAGTTAGACAGAACTCTGAGGATGCTTGCTGATGCCGTGACCCCTACATTCATTTTTGGCAAAAAATTCCTAATCAAAATACCTTGTGGAGCAGACTGGGAGAAAGAGATCCCAGTTAATGCCGACCATATCTGTTCTACAGATAGCTCCAAAACCGAATGTGGGACAGGAGCTGGCATTTATGGAAATAAACCAAGGACTAGAATTTGTATAAGACTTGGACAACATGCCACCATCTTTCAAGCGGAAACTGTGCCTGTTAAACACTGACCACTATTAAAGGCTGGATATTGTCAATAGAAGAATAGCCAACTACTCGGGCAGCCAGGCGGCAGTAAAGTCCAGAGTTGTTTGGAACTGCATTAGAGCCATGGGGAAATAACAAAACTAAACTTGTCTGGGTGCCAGGGCACACAAGGCAGAGGAGCAACGAAGAGGCAATAAACTGGACAAGGGAAAGTTCAATTGGCAAACCTATTGGCCGTGAAACCTATTGTGGCTTACCAAACTGCCAAAAAGATCCATTGGATAATGGATTAAAAATAAGTCCTCCATTCAGTCAGAATGGAGCCCGCCGGGGCAAAGGCATGCAAAAAAGTTTATCAAAGGACCATCTCAAAAACTAACAGCAGAACTATTTACTCTAAGACATGCTAGACTAGAATAACATGGACTGCTGAGTGGACACTGTAGAGTCATAGGTATAGAATCATTATGGCAGAAACAAGCCTATGCAGATATTGCCAAGAAGAAGAAATAGCAGAACATGTTCTCTGTTGGTGCAAAGGACTATGTAGGCTGACTTGAGATTCCTAATCCTGGGAGGGGAAAAGCCAAGGCCTGAAGGGTACTCACAGAAGCCCTTGAAAAAGCTTGGTAAAAAGCTTAATAAGTTCTAGGTCGTAGAGGCTATTCCTATATAATCTAATGTAATTTACTCTTATATTGTCTTGGATTACCAGACCTAAGCCTCTTTAGTGCAAAGGTTGCTTACATTACAATAATTTAATACTAAACTAATAAAGAACCCCGTTTGTCCACTCACATTATAAAGGTACTTCACTTTCAGCATAGCTCCTCAGTATTTTGAAAACAGTTGCCGAGCAGCCAAGTAGAATGCAATTTTAGTGAGAGGTCCACTCACATGAAGTGCAACAGTGAGGGATACCATAATAAAAAATAAAATAAATAAGTCCACAAGGATGAATTACAATAACGCTTTTACAGGGCTGCTGAAGATTGGCCAATAACCCGAATATACAAAAGATTAACAACAAAAAATAACTTTTTATTTATTTTTTATTTATATTTTAGGATTTTTTTTTTTAGATTTTACCCTTCTATATTGAGAAAAGTGGAGAAGACAATAAATTGAATATCAGTAGGGATACTTCTATCGAGTAAAAACTCTGAAATACCCTCCAGTAGAGGACTACAATGAAAAAACCTTCACAGGGCTGATGAAGTTGGCCTATTGTAGAAAAGATAAAAAACTTTTTTTTTAAATACCTTCATCTATATTGTGAATCATGAATAGCACAACAAAAAGGGAAACTGAAGGATGAAAATTAAAATTAATGTTTTATGGCAATAAAATCATTATTGCAAAATCTGTGTTTTAGTGGGTCCTAGCTGACCAAAGCAATTATTCAAACTGATTTATAATTTTTATGCAAGATCTTGGTTGAGAAGAAAGATCAGTATCACAAGCGAGACTCGAATCCACAACCTTCCACTCAATACGCTACTGCTTTTACTACTTGAGCTATCGTGTGTTCAGTCCGCCGAGACACCAACTAATCTCACCCTACAACTTTTTTAAATCTCCCTCTTTTTGCCATATACTCAAATTTCGTGCCATATTTTCAAATTCTTGGTGAACATGGGTAATCATTAAATAAACTCTTCTGTTTCATATTTAACAAAGATTTTATTCACCAGTAATGCCTCTGTTTTAAACGAATAAGGGTAAGAAGCTAATTAGATTAAAAACAATTATTAATAACTTTATTAGTGTAGAAAATATACAGGTATAAAAAAAATTGATGTACAACTCCGAAAAAAAACCTAATTGAGAACAACAAATTTGATAACACTATTTAAAATTAAGAGGAATTATAAAGAAAAGTTGTAAACTAAGGCTGAATTAACAGGATTTTATTTTTGTAAGAAAAATGTGCAACCTGTTGAACACCACCAGTTTTGTAACTATGTGACGTGGTCGCATCAATAGACAGGTAAGGAAAACAATCACAATAGAGGAGTATAAAAGATCATTACTGGAATGAAAATCCACCCTGCGGTACACTTGTGTTTGCACAGAACTCGAGTTGCTCGTTTGAAAGGTTCGGTACATAGGGCTGGCCGTCGTCTTCATCCTGAAACATAAAAGCATTTGATGGTATCTCAATTGGTTAAATAACCAGAAAAGGCCATAGTAGCTACCTTTCTCCTTTATTTAAGCTAAAAAGTCCTTTGACATAATAAATCTTATGATTAAAGCTACACATATTTTACTACCAATTTGTTAGGAAGTATTTTGAAAATATGGTGGGAGTGAGTGAAAACTACATATTACAGGACAGAATTTAAAATAAATTTAATGGAAAAATTAAACTAAATGCTCGAACAGACTTAATATTGAATCGTACAATTTTTAACTTCAAAAATACTATCATTAATTTTAAAAATGTAATACTTTCAGTCTTTTTATCCTATAAAACTCCTATAACAATTAATTAAAGAGCTCGGCAGGGCCAAAGGTGACATCAAAAAGTTAATGATATAAATTAAATATTGTAATAAACACCACAAACTCCCTTGAATGATAGGTTTCAATATTTCTGAAACCGCTCAAGATAGAAGTATTGTATTTTTTTTATATAATAGGCTATTTTGACTCCACATTGGACGGAGTTTTAATAAGTCATTTCTGAAAATTTGGTTAAATATTGGGCTGGTACAAAAATAATGTAGGTTTTTTGAAAAGGCAGTCAAAATTATTTTTAATTTTTATAAAATAAAGAAAATATAACCGAAATATTTTCCATCCCAATCTATACACCTTTGTCAACGTGTAATAAGTGGTTTTATTACAGACATAAAAATCTTTATATCGACTGACGACAATAATCTTGGAAGGCGTTTTCGGCATCACCACATTCTCTAAAAATTTTATCACTCAAGAAGTGTTCAAAATGCCTAAAAAAAGTGGAAGTCTATGAGCAAGAGGTAGGGTGAATATGGAGGATGCGCTAAAGTTCCATAACCGAAGTTCTTAAGTTTCCACAGGATTGGCGTTGCGACAAGTGGCCTGGCATTATCGTGAAAAAGAATTACAAAGACGTAGCAGTTTCGCATGCATTTAGTTAATTTCTTGGCAAAATTTCTCTGCTATGATAGCTTCTTCATAATTCAGTAAATTATAGTGAACAACCCCAGCAGTACATTACCAAACCTTTTTAGGGTGCAGATTTGGTTTCGGGAAGTGTTTTGGCACTTATCCTTGTTCAACCACTAACACCACTTGTTATCCTGTAGAATCCATATCATTTTGGTTGCTTAACAGAACTGACGTGCAAATTTCAAAGCGTCGATTTCCTGAGCTTTTGTTAGTTCATGCAGTACCAATTTGTCAAACTTATTGATTTTGCCAATTTGCTCCAGATGGGGACCAAAGGTTGGGAAGTCAACACTAATCTCTTCCGTAATTTCTTGTCTTACCTGAATTATTTTCAATCAATGTTCTGAGTCAGTCATTGTCCACAACAGGCAGCCTACCACAACCTTCCCTTTCTATGAGGTTGAAATCTCCAATACAAAATCTCTGAAACCATTGCTGCACCATGCATTCACTATTTTTTCCCTTCCCCCTAAACTGTATTGATTTATGCGAGGTTTGGGCCACACTTAGCCCAAGTTTAAATTCATTCAAATAAATTTTGCGAAAATCTACTTTGGAAATATTTAATTTTGCAGGTCCTCACTCATAAAATTCAATATAAACTAAAATGTTTTGTATAAAATATAAAAGTTAAAAGTATTTATTATAATCAATCAATTAGATTTGAGCATTTAGCTTTGTTTACATGCCAAGCACCTGCAAAAATAAAACAAATTTTAAAAACCTGCATTTAATTTGCACCAACCCAATATATATGCCAGAAGAGAGAAAAAATATGAGATTACAGTAGAAAATAACAGTTACACTGGACAATGTACCAGATTCATCTAACCTACTTTTATAAAAACATATTTAAAAAAATTAAAAACTAACCAATGTGTTGAAGTATTTATCAATAATGGTTGCACACTTGTTGTAAATCTGTTCATTTTCATGCTGTTGTAAATCTTCAATCTTGTCGACTCCTCCACTCTCTTGTACCATTAGGGCAATCCTATCGAGCTCGTTATTGTTCTGCGCAACCTGAAATTCGGCAGAACAAAAAATAAAGTTACCAAGCCTGTGAATTAATTCCATTAAAGTAAAAATACCTGTAAGATGTTAGCGAGGGCATCCAGAGCAAGATTAACTATCTTACATTCCTTGCTGTCCAAGATGTAGCACAGGTGGGGAATCACTCCATGGCAAATAAGACTGGCGACTTGCTGTGGGCTTCCACCAGATGTTAGATTTGTGACAGCCCATGCTGCTTCTTTCTGGGATTTCAAATCACCCTGTAAAATATAAAAATAAATTTTTGTGCGGTGGCCAAAACAGCCATGCAAGATGGGAGAATGCAGTAGCGGAGCAATTTTCTGAGGAATTTCTAAACCTTCCATCTCACTCACAAAAAATTCAATTCATTCAAATACTGGCTTAGGTAATATGAAAAAGGCTGTAAAAGGGAGGAGAGTGGAAGAAATAAATTTCAGACATGCAGTGTGGCTGGAATGATTTTAAATAATATTAATTAAGAAATAAGAAAAATTAAGAAGATTCGACTTTTTTTAATCAAAGAATAATAAGTGCCAGCACATTTTTATTTTTTTTTTATTTTTTGGGTAATGAAAAGGTGGATGAGGTGACCAAGGCCAGGACATCCCGACCTCTTGACTTAACCACCACAATCCAGTATTGACGCTAAGAATGCAAAAAACATCATTAAAAGAAGGTGGCAGCATCAACGGGCCAGATCAACAGAGAAGCTCTCGCACATCAAGAGCGCTGTCGATGGGTGGCCCTCAGATCTGACTCATAGAAGAAGGGTCATCCTCACCCAGTTAAGTACCCTAAGTATGCGAAATTGACACACAGACACTTACTTTTGGGCCAAAGCCTGTGTTTGTGTCCAGTATGCAGAGAAAGTTGCTCAACATGTCCCAACTAATTGAAGGCTGCAATTCTTTGGCTCCATACAGGGAGTGCACGGGAATGCACAAAATTTGAGAATTGTACTTGAGCATACGATAGCGAGTATTCAGGCCCTCTGTTTAAATTCTTGGAAGAAATGGGGTTGTTCTATGGTATATAGTAATAATAGTTGTGTATACCTAGCTTGTGTTGAGGGACGTATTTATTAGCATGGATGTGTGATGTGAGAGGGTCGAGTACCCCCATCAACCCTCAATTAGGTTTAATCGTATAAAGCTGTGTACCCACTATGCTCGCGAACCTTCGAACCTTCATCTTTAGTGTGATGCTTCTGAGCTCGGAACGTGTAACAGTTTGCGAACATCCGGGAGCGTTACAATTGCTGTCAGTTTTTGGGTTGAACTCAAAGGGGAGTGCAGCAGGTTCGTGGATGACAGTTTATAGTGCAGTGTGTACCGCAACCAACAAACACAACCATTGTGCAATAGAAGTGGTTGGAAGACCATCCTCAAGTTCAAAGATTAATTTGAGTGGTTCCCGGTTAACTACAGTATCCAATGAGGCCAGCAATCTCAAGACGGTACAAAGGTTAAAAGTAGCATTTGTTTTAGTAGGTTTCGAGAGTAGCCAACTGACAAAGAGATATCCCGACAGTTAACTGATTTTGCAGAACACTGCGTTGGGGCACAACTCTCACTATAAGAAGGAGGGGTTTTATGGCTGTGCACTCAAACCTGTCATGTAGTCTTAACTTGTTTTATTGACATTTTTAATACCCTAGACCCATCTTACAAACAGTCCATCCCCAAACTATTTACAAACTTTGCCGACCTCAACAATCGTAATGTAAAATATATAATATTTAATTTTATTACCTTTCTCAGAACATCAAGTAGAGGAGGAAGTATGTTTGCATTGATGACATGTTCAATCTGTTCGACGTTACCGGCTGTTATGTTTGAAATGGTCCAAGCAGCTTCCTTAACCATATTGTTTTTAGGGTGTTGCAGGAGAAGTGCAAGAGGTTGTAAACCTCCAGCATTAATAATAGCATCAGTCTGTTACAAACAAACAAAATGTTTACACGAGATAAAACATAAAATAAAACACAATACTTACTTGTACATCGGTCCCGCTGACAATATTTCCAACAGTTCTCAAAGCAGGTGTAAGTACCGTAAAATCACTGCTTGATAAAAGTTCGACAAGTCTTGCAACAATTCCTGTGTCAACTACAGCTTGTATTCTGCCATTTGTTCCATCTGACAAATAGGACAACGCCCAGCAAGCATCTCCTGCAGAACAAAAACAAAAAGTCAGATTTTTTTTCAACTATGTATTAGCAATCTGCAGTATAATTACCCAAAACTTCTTTGTCATCATAAGAAAGAAGCTTGCAGAGGTAAGGCAAGCATATTTTTACAGTGTTGAAATTCGGTGGTGGATTTTTGTTTCGGCAGAGGTTTGACAAAGTCCAGACGATGTTTCTTAGGACAGGAATGCTTGTGTCTGGCTTGATAAGCTCAAGGATGGCCGGCATGGCATTACAATGTAATACGAGATCCCTTGTTTTGGGGCCATCGCCTAGAATGAGAATTAAAAAATTAAAAATGTACTTACAAATATATTTTCATGCTAAAATACCAGCAATGTTTCCAAGTGCCCAGACCGCTTGCTCAGCGATGTGCAGATGTGGGGATTTTAGGAGAGCGACAAATTTCGGAATTGCACCTCCGTTAACAACAGCCATTGTTTGATTTGAATTACCAGATGCGACATTTGTAAGGGCCCATGTACTTTCAAACTGCAACGTCGGGCTGCACACACACACACACACACACAACAACAAAAAAAATATAAAAATATGATAAGCCTTATAACATTTTATGAAATTACCATTTAATTAGATTTAAAGTAAAAGTTAGTAAAAATTAAAGTGATTCTTATCATAAAGGAAGGAGGGGCTCGGAGAGTCAGAACCATTTCACAAGACTTTTTCCAATTCAATCTCAAATAAAATTCCAATGTATTTAAATGACATCAATTACTCACTTGTGTGAATATGTCAGGAATTCGATAAATCTTGGAACGGCGTCGATGAGAACATCAATAGGTGGATTTTTCTCTCGGCTTAGAATTTTTCTGGCAGCCTGTGTTGCTTGAAGTTGTACATTTTCATCATTGCTGTAAAGCTCTGAAAAATATTTCTTTCTGTTTATGCTAATTCAAATTTATTAACGACTTCAAAATTACTCGCAAAAATGTCTTCGATCGTGATCGGTGGGGAGTTGCTAGTGGACTCCTGCAACGGGCTCAAAGGTTCATCATCGATGTGTATATTACGCCTTTTTGCAAGTTGATCATCTTTCTTCGCCTTTCTCAATTCAATGCTAACTTCATTTCTCCGTCGACGCAACTCCTATGCACATCCATTAAAAATTATTACAATCGTACAAATAAGACAATATATTTAAAATAAACAAGTTACCTCAGAATCTTTGCCTTTATTTTTAAACGCACTGAGGCGGTTTGGTGCATAATTCTCTTGTGAAGGCATTCTGTGGGCAAAAACTGTATTATTATTATCGGGTGCCAAATACAAAGCAGTTTTAAATTTTTTAACAATATTTCATAACTTAGTTTTTACCAAAGATTTAATAGAAAATTTCTCCGTCTTTTCGAAATACTTGCATACCACATAAATTAATGTTTAAACCAATGATGGTTAAATTGTTTAAACCACAAGACTTTAAACATAGGCGAGAGGTGCCCATAGTGTTGTCCTTTAGACTACGACCTTACCTAACTATTAATAAAGGTTTTAAGTTGAGATAAAAAAGTCAGTGTCATGAGCGGGATTCGAACCCACGACCTTTGGCTTGATAAGCCACCACTTGAGCTATTGTGTCTTTGATCCCCTCGGGCACTAACTTCCCATCTCAACCCCACCTTTTGAATTTTCCCTCCTTTTTGCCATTTATCAAATGTGTAATCGGATTGGATTCTCGGCGACAAATGAAATTACACGACATTTGAAAAATGGCAAAGAGGGGAAAATCAAAAGGTGGGGTTAAGATGGGAAGTTAGTGCCCGAGGGGATCGAAGTCACAATAGCTCAAGTGGGAGAGTAGCGGCGTATCAAGCCGAAGGTCATGGGTTTGAATCCCGCTCGTGACACTTGACTTTTTTATCTCAACTTAAAACCTTAATTAACTGAATGTTATTAATTGGTCAAGCCGACCACGAAAACTAGTGAACTTACCTAACAATGATGAACCTAAGTACAACCACCACTCATTGGTTCGTACAGGGAGTGGAAAAGTTAGAGCTATATAAACGTAAAATACTGGTAAGCTGTTCATCACCTTCCAAATTACATCGTTTTTTAAATGGTTAGATTGCAAAAAACATATAAAAATTAAAAATATAGACAAATTGCTTGTGAAAACAAAATAATGATTATCAAAATATTGTATCAAGATTTTAAAAAATTCTCGAGTTTTCATTTACGTCATCCTTCACCTAGCACAACAAATTACAGGCTCTTTTAAGAAAGTTTTGGATGAGTCTGTTCAAATTATTAATTATATCAAGTCACGGCCATCGAAGTCTCAATTTTCACAATATGTGTCGATATGGAAAGGCTTCATCATCCCTAGCATCACCATACAGATGTTAGGTGGCTGTCTTGTGTGAAAGCATTTCACGATTACAGGAATTACGTACTTTTCACTATATTATCACTGATGATATGGGAAGCGTTCATCTTTCCCTGATTCTCCATACACAAATGAGGTGGCTGTCTTCCGATTACAGAAATTATGTTCTGAAGTCTTATCTCAGTTGATGGACCACAATTTCAAATTGGCCAACGTTTTCAATGATGAAAAATGACAATATATATATACTGTCATATTTATAAGAAATGTTCATTAAAATGAATGAGATAAGTCTTTCTTTGAAAGGGAAGAGTATCACAACTTTCGTATCTAACGACAAAAATTCGTGCTTTCAAAAGAAAAATTTTGGATTGAATCTGTTGGAAGAAGGAGTTGGAGTGTTTGCCTGTGTTAAATTATTACTTAAAAGAAAAAAAACTGAAGCTTGCGAACGTTGATTGATGGAATATGTGAACATCTTCGAAGTTTGGAGATGTCCTTTGACTTTCCCAACAGCTTGAGTCACAATGCTGCTAGACTGTGAATGAGTCGTCAAACTGTTTTCAATTTAGACAAGGTCTTCAAGTGAATATAAATTTTTAACAGACATCACTTCAGACTACACCTTGAAATCTATTTTCGAATCTGATAGTTACTCCAATTTTTGACTCCATGTGGGAAACAAAAAATTTCAACCGCTTATTGAAAAAGGAAAACACGTTCTTCCAATTGCCACAACTTACCTATGCGAATCTGTATTTTCTATCTATGTAGCCACTAAAACTAAATACCGAAGCTGTCTATACACTGAACCTGAAATCTCACTCCATCAAAAATTAAAAATAACATATCCAAATTGTGCAGGCTAAAACAACCTCACTCTTCCCATTAATTCATTAATCATTAATGTTCCAATTATTACTTTTGAAATTGGCTCAGATTTTACGTGCTTACTAATTCCATTCTGTCCAATTTGATTTTTGTGTTCTGGATTTTGTAAATAAAGTAAAGTATGTCAAACTAATGTTTGTTTTCATAGTGATATCCCTCTCCATCAGCTTATTAGGAATGGAATGATTAAAGCTAATTTATAAAACTTTAATTTGCAACATATATTATAAATATCTAATTTGAAATACTTGAATGCGAGGGGGCCCGCTGGCAAAAAAGTTTGGAAGCCCTGGTATTGTGTATTGTGAGCACATTTAAACTACAAATGACACTTTATTAACAAATTAATATTGTATTCTATTCCTTTAATATTGCTATAATATGGCTTGGTGGCCAACAAACATTCCACAAGATTTCGAAGAAGAAAAAATAAATATATGTATCCATCAACAATTGACTAGCTTTATAAAATGACAAAGAGTGCGCAAATTCAAAGTATGAATAATACGTTACATACTGTACTGATTAGTAATTTACTATTAAAAGTGATTTCTTATTAACGTTCTTCACATGAAGCAAAATTGGCAGTATTCTGATTATTTAGTCCTTCAGAACATATTTGAAAATGTATTAGGATAATGTGTTATTTCATAAAGAAAAAGTAACTTTAAGAGTTCAGTGTAAATTATAAAACATTTTCTTTCTTATGGCTTCAAAATCCATAATTCGTGAATGCTTATTGAGTGAATTTTAGCTCGGCACTAGGGCAGTTTAGGAAGTTTGTAAAATTATCTCTGCATATAGTGATAAAACTATGTGATTACACTGCCTAAAAGTGGTTCCTCTTATGGATAAACAGATGCTGATCAGCACTATTAAAGCAATAAAGCCACACAAACCTTTTCTTGTTATTTGCATCACAATGCATGTTTGAAGGGAATCATTAATATAAATAAAGTCACTAGATATTTTATCACTTTTGTCTTGCATATAGAAAATACATTACAGCCAACATATTGAATTTAGTTTCCATTATGAGTACTACATCGAAGATCAATGGACCTGAGCAACTTAAGGAGTATGCAAACAGTATTTTATACATAAATTTCAAGTTTATGCAGTATTCTTTAAGGAATTTTATCCCTTTGGCTTTATGCATTAAAAATGCATTATTGAAATTATAGAATGTACTCATGTAGGAGGTGAATAAGTGTAAACCTATAATATGTGAACCAGAATAAATTTTTCAAGTTTTCATTGAGTCATCCAAGGTCACTAGATATTTTATCACTTTTGTCTTACATATAGAAAATACATTACAGCCAATATATTTAATTTAGTTTCCATTATGAGTACCACATCTAAGATCAATGGACCAGCAACTTAAGGAGTATGCAAACAGTATTTTATACATAAATTCCAAATTTATGCAGTTTTCTTCAAGGAATTTTATCGCTTTCGTTGTATGCATTAAAAATGCATTATTGAAATTATAGAATGTACGTATGTAGGAGCTGCATAAGTGTAAACCTATAATAAATGTACCAGCATAGATTTTTTAAGTTGTCATTGAGTCATCCAAGGTCACAAGATATTTTATCACTTTTGTCTTACATATAGAAAATACATTATGGCCAATATATTGAATTTAGTTTCTATTATGAGAATCCACCACATCCACGGAGAATTGACCAGCAGTACATTTGGTGTGTAAAAAAAATAAGAGTGAATTTCAAGTGCGAATAATGCATGACGAGCTTTATTAATAATTTCCTACTAAAAGAGAGTCGTTTCATAACGCTCAATGTATGCAGTGACCAAAATTGGCAGGTCTGAGCATGAAATGCAGGACTACGCCTGACGTTATTTACTTGAGTGAAGGTGTTACTGAAAATTTTTACTTTTTTTATCAAACCCGATTGATTCGTATTATTTTCAACAATTCAAACAATATGTAAGCAATATGTCGAAATATACGAGTCTAGGTATGGCAGTTGTAACTTGGTAAATGTTTATCTTACAATTAATTATTTTTGTCAATCCTGAAAGTGTTAAACCCTGAAAACAGCGAAATGCAGCGACGACACTGCCCTGGGATCAGTCGATCGAGCGAGGCCGATATCGCAATAGACGTAACACGGCCCACGGACGATCGTGACCAGGAACATCTCGCGACTTTTTGATCAACCCTTGATTCTTTTCACATACCTTGTCTGATTTCCGAGTAGTCCCTGGTCGATGTAGAAAAGCGAGATCACTTGGAAAACACTTTTGCTGGGCGCGAGAACGAACAGCAGTAGACGTGAACAGGCTTGGGCCGAGAAGAATCGGTGCTCCAGCGGGAGATCCTGGTACTCGCCACTCTTCCCCCACTTCCGAGTACAACGGATTTTCTGCTTTCGGCTAGTTTCAAATTTAAATTTTTTCCTTACGCTATAAATTCACTTTTGACTCAATTTCACCACTGATTTTGCACTAAAGTTTTTTCGTTCACTTTAATAAAGAAATAAAGTCAATTTTTAAACGTTAAACTGAACAAAAACAACACGTTTTACTTGATTCACAACCAGTATTTCAATTGCAATTTTCTTATTTTTTTAAAATGACTTTTTAAAGGAATTTTAATCGACGTGATAAGATTGACGTGTTTATTTGGAATTTGCTCAACGACAACCGAATGATCATGGGCTCAATAAAGGAAACATGACGTTACCTCCTCGTGACTGAGTTCCGAAGTAGAAGGTCGATACACAGCTAAAGTCAATAATTTTTTGTCGGCATTGCCCAGAATCAAATTTCTGGTTGAATTTGAATTATTGATTTATGAGTTCATTGTAGCAAGGTATATCCATTTTATATTGTTTCACATCAATACCAAATTTATTGTACTAAGTCCTGGAAGGAATATGTTTGAGCAAATAAAAATTGAACTACACTGTTGTCATCCTTTACCAAAAAAAGGACACTAGGCGGAAATAAGTTAGAACTAAATGTTGCTGTAAGGCCTTTTTCAGACGAGGCAGTATGATTGTTTTAACTAAGCAGTCTGGTTGACTGCTGTAGAATATTTTTTTGGCTGATTTTATACCAGGCAATTTGTGAAATTACTTCTCTTTCGATGTTAGAACCTGAAGAAGCAGATCTTGTACAAGAAGAGAAGCAAAGAAGGAGGAAGGGGCGTCGGTGCCGGAGGTTGACAGGACGCGCATTATTGTAAAGTAAAAGGACTCTGGTTCAAACCCGACACAAAAATGAACGAGGGTTCATATAACCTTGTAGTTGAAATATCCTCATTAAAAAGAAAAAGAGGAAACCCAGTAGAAGAAAAGTATGGGTTCATCCATTGTTTCAAAATCAAACAGTTAACGGGAACTTTCTCACAACTTTCCCCATGCCACATCCCTTCAAGTTTCACTTCATTTTAATTTTGTCGCTATACTCCTTACACTTTGTGTCCCATATCGCAGAAATATTACAAATTTTTTCAATGAGCCGTTTCACATTAAAACAATCAATTCTACGTAAACTCAGTTGACACAACTAGGCAACTAGTATGAAGGATGAATGCCAAATTGTGTCCTGTGCTATTTCTAAGTAGGGATGAGAATATGAGCGACTGTGTTTGAAGGGGTTCAGGTGTTTCCCAATCATTTGTAACTGGCTACGTGGCTACACACCTTGATACTCATACATTCAACTAGTTACAACCACCTAGTATGAATCTAAGGAATTAAAAAATAATATCTAGGTGTCATTTTTTTAACAAAAACTTTCTTGAAATCATCAACTATAACGTATATGTAAACGCCTTTGTGAGAAAAGCGGGGGAGTAAAGATTTCCACATGGTTGTGCACAGCAGTTTTCAGACCTATAATGCTCTGCAGATCGGTGGTTTGTTGACTAAAGACATTGTGACCTGAGCTAAGGGTGGTCAGGATCATCAGTACTGCTCAGAGACTAGCATATTTTAGCATAACTAGGGTGATTAGAACGACCCCCACTACTGTCCTAAAAGTCCTGAACCTACCACCACTGTCTTCATCCAGGGAGAGTTTAGGAGCCACAATTTACAGGCTAATACAGGGAAATGTTCCAATATATAATATATATATTATGCAGGGTGGGCAACCAAGACCCGAGGGGTTAAATGCCTGGGTAGACTCGTACCCCATCCCTAAAAGGTCCGGGACTTGGTCGGCTCATGTGTCCTGCATAAACCTCTTGGACCTGTTCACAAACACCAATCTCGGGGAGTGATTTGGTGATGTCCTCTCCTTCAAAGATTTCAAATCTAGACCTAGCATACCTATCACACTCTGCGAGGTAGTGCCTTGCCGTTTCTTTTTTTATTTTGCAAAAACGGCAAAAGGGATCTGGTAGGATACCCATTACGAAGAGGTGTCTTCTCAGTGAGCAGAGGCCTGTCAGAATACCAATCAGCCACCTAATTCCCTTCCTTGGGACAGAGAAATAGCCATTTCGATTGACATGTTCCAATTACTCACCTGCATAAAAAAGGAATTAAAACCTTCAGGAAAAACTTAAATTAGACAAAGTTCTAGAGATGCCTGTTAATGCCATGACCCTAAAAATTAGATTTGATCAAAAAATTTCAAATTAAAATACTTAATAGAGCAGACTGGAAGAAAGGAATTCCAGTTTATGCCAATATCAGGTACCTAGATGGCTCTAGGACCAAGTATCTATAGAAATAAACTAAGGAGTAGAATTCATTTAAGCTTTGGGCAATATGTCACTATCTTTAAGGCATAGACTGACTATTGATCACCAACTGTGTCAGAGAGATGAAAAGGCTGAGTAATGCCAACAAAAGAAAAGCCATCTACTTGTATAGCCAGGCTTTACTTTGGTAAAGGTTACTACTTCATTGGAAGTCGTTTGGGATTGTATCAAGACTTTGGCAAACTCTGGGGAAAACGAATTTTCCCTTGATTTTTGGAGGGAAGGGCAGACCTTTGCCATTTTTAGTATTTGGTCTGTGATTTCTTTGATGTCAAATCATAAAACTAGGTCTTTTTATTATGTTTTATTTTGTAAGCCAGAAGCGAAATTTTGTCTCATAAACTTTTTCTAGCAGATGAAACAATTTATTTTTATAGATTTAGGGGTTATTTAGGGAACCCTGGTGTTGATTTGACCATGTAGTTGCAAATTCTCCAATAAATAATATATTCTATCATAAAGACTATTTTGTTATGTTTAATCTTCTATTAATTTTCTCATTGCATGTTTTATATATTTTCACAAATTATTTATTTATTTTTAAAACATGTTTTATACAGATGGAAGACCTACAGAAAAGCCTCAGGGAGCTGGTCGGGATTGAGAGCCTAGCCGAGGAGATTTTACGTGACAAGGCCGAAGTCGTCAGTATTGATAAAAAGAGAAACAGCAATCGTGAGGGAATAAGGCAATTGATGAAATCAAATGAAAAAAAGACCTGGATGACTCTCGGGCCCATACTAGTTAAAATGCCCTCTGATAAAGTCAGAAACATGCTAGAAAAAGACCAAAAAGTCCTTGACATTGAGATTAACAAGGTTAGAAGCGATTTGAAAGTCAAAGTGAACAAACTGAGAGATTTGGAGTACAATGATCCGCTCAAAGGGTTCGATCTGAAACCGCTGAGCCGGCAAGAAATGTCAGCAGTTGGTCAAGCTCTTGGTAGACATTCATAAACAAATTATGCAGTAATTTATAACTATTTATGTATATATTTTTGTATTGCTTGTGTAAATAAATTTGTTTATTTAAATAAATTGATTTTTTCTTAACATTTTTGTCTGTTGTGTCCAAACACCACTACTGATTTTCCTGGAAGATTTCTGTACTTTTTAAATAAAGTATAGAAATCTTCTCAAAACAAAATTAAGGCAGTTAAAAATATGCATTTTAAAAAAAATCAATAATTTGCTAAAATCACAACTTTAAATTGCATTCAACTTTAGTCAAAAGCTGAATCATTAGAACGCACTTTTATTTTATTTTATTTACAGGAGAGTCCCACAGAGTAATACATTTTTGTGACTAGCATAAAGCTTTATTTTCTCACTTATTATGGTGTTTTTAATTTGATTTAAGCTAGAGAAAAACCAATCAATATTAAGTTCATTCCCTTCCAGCATTAGTCTGTTTATTGCCATGTATTTTATGTATGGTTTGACTTTGAGTAGGACAAAAAGTCTTAATTATCTTCTAATTAAATTGAGGTACACGAATTCTTTTAGTGAACAATAATCATTTATTTAATTTATGTTTGCAGGATCACGGTAGCCGAGAGGTTAGTGTGATATACTCAGCTCGTAGACCCTGTAGTCGTGGGTTCGATTCCCACCGTCGCCCCTGGCCCTTTTTTTTCACACAACCCTTCCACCCCATCCCACATCACATATATATTCATTATGTTCCTTGGCTAATATGCAAAGTTCACAAGGCCATTAAAAAAATTATGTGAACAGGTATTTATGCTCCACACACAGAGAAGCAATTTAAAAGAGAAGAAGATATTTTTTAAGGATGTGTACAATAATAACTACAATAGCAATGAAGTTCATTTTTACAATATTTCGGTTTGAGCTGGAAACTGCGGTAGCCATCCCCTCTCTCAGCAGACTGGATTTTAAGAAAATTATTGGCCTCCACACCGGTCGGTCACTGCCCCCTTAACTACCTAAAGATGGGCAAAGGAGAGACAGACAAATGCCTACTCTGTCAGGAGGAACCAGATACATCGGCACGTCCTCTGTGAACGTGAAGCATTAGCCTGGTACAGTCACTTCAATAAGACAATTGTTTGTTTTTTTTAACAAGGGTTCGTAATAGTAGAGGTCATATCAACCCTCAAGATGCCAGTGTTTTTCAAAAAAAGTCCATAAGTATGTCAAGTTTGAATGCAGGGCCGCTAGATTCGAACCCTAGACCTTTACCTTACAGTGATGAGCGCCGTGTAAATGTCTAAACCATTATGGCCACCTACGGCCCTCAATAAAGCAATTCTCACACCAAAAGAAATGCATAAAGAGGCATCAAGAAAGTGCTTAGTCTAGGAAAAAGTGCTCTTTCCAAGGATGGCTATAATTTATAGGGGGTCCACAATACAGATCACAGAGGAGGAAACAATTTTTAAAATTTTGGTAGCCAAGTGGTTAGTATAGTCGGCAAATAGATGTTGTGTGTTTAATTCCATATCCCTACCACAAAATTAATCAAAATTGATATTAAGACAGGGCTAACGTGCTAGACGCAACAGCATTAAAAATAAATCAAAATAATAATAATAATAAAAATCTTTGAACTGTTTGAATGGATGAACTAGTATCATAAGAAATTTTAATTTTTCTGAAATTATTTGGTAAGTTGACAAAATGTAATTTGGGTTATATATGTTCTGTGTTTTAAGTGTTATATCTTTTTATGGTGGTATTGTTATTTCTGAGTAAGTAATTTTTGATTCAATAAATCAATCCTTCCCCTGCATTATGCCCATACAACTTACAACTACAAAAGCACAAACACTGAGGAAAGGGACATTTTTGAAATGGTTGTTTAAAATAACAAAACTCTTAACATTTAGTCTCAATAAAGATATTCTTGTTTTTAATAACTTTACATTTATTTAAAAATTTCAATGTTCTCATATGTATATACAATACAATTTAACGGACGGAACACACAACAGTATTAGTATTTAAAAAATTGTTTTACATGTAGATATCGATAATAAAATTTTACAACAATATTTGAAATACAATGTACAGTATAATATATACAATAGCAATAAATATTTAAATTTTACACAAAATAGAAAAATTCATATTTTAATTGATTATTTGCTTGTTTTGCACACAATTAAAAATTACCTTAAATTTTTAGGATACAATGTACAAAAGTCAACCTAAAATCTAATTTATGTTAATCACAGCAAATACTATTAATATATTTATTTTTCAACAGTCATTTTTTTTTGTTCATATTAAAGAATCATGCGACAAATTCGCCAGGTTTAAAAAATAAGTATGTACACTCAAAAGTCAATTTCCACTTTTATGGGTTTTTTTTTGGCACTGATAAATTATTATTTATCACTTCAATCATCAGTTCGTTGTTGCTGTTATGTACATTAACTAATATGGCTACATGTCGAAAAAGAAATAATTACTTCAAACCCTATATAAGTTCAGAAACAAATTCAGGTTGGCCGTCCTTGTTCATCCTCAATTCAGACCTTGTCCGGAAGACATCTGCATTCTCTGGTACTTGGAATGTAGACCCTTGAAAGCCAAGAGCAGCTTCATACATCTAAAAACAAGATTCAAATTATTATTGAACGATTAAAACTTAAATATGATGGAAACTATTCATGCCTGTTGGCTGTGAGAACTGACGTTGTCCAGAGGCAAAACTGATCCGCCTAATGTGGCGTAGTCTCCAGCTCCAAGTGAGAGCATAGTGTTGAGCGAGCTTCTTCGGTTTGGATGTTGAATTGTAGCATACGTATTATCAACCTAATATGGTAATAATGTTAATTAATTTACTGTATATGAATTTTGAAAGACATCAAGAGTGCAGCCTCAGTTCTTGGATTTTCAATTGGTCGAAAACAAATATTTTGTATATGTTGACAAAAATAATGAAATTACTCGTCAAAATCAAATTAAATTTAAAGAAACTATATTAAGTTAATTTCTGTTTTTTTAAAAGATCTGTCAGGGCATTGTGTACAGCAGCGGCTCCCAAATTTTTCCCTTTCTGGTGCCCATAATCTATCAGAATTTTCCCACTGTGCCTCAAGTCAAAATAACTGTCTAACTCAGCATCAACTTTAGTAAATTATTAGTAATTCATTTCCAATTCAGTAATAAATAATTAAAGGGGCGTCGGTGGCATCAACGGTTTAGGTGTTGACACGGCACTCATCACTGTAAGGTCCCGGGTTCAAATGCAGAGCCGCTGGATTCGAACCCGACATACTTACAAATGGGCTTTTTTTCAAAAACACTGGCACCCTGAGGGGTTAATTTAATTTTTTTAAAAATTAATGATAATAATAATAATAATTAAAACTACTGACTTTCTTGTGAAGTTGAAAAATAAAATAAAACGTGAATACTTTTTTGGGGCAATAATATAAATTACACATTTGCAGTTCTCTCATTATCATCCATATTGAGGTTGGATGGCACCAGAGTCATTTTTTAGGGTTTTATAAAAGGGGGTTTTGTTTTTAGGCTTTTTTTATGATTATAAAAATAATATTTTTTATAAAAAATTTTCATGGTGCCCTTGTAGCACAGTTTGGGTATCACCGGTGTATAGTGTGACTATTGAAAAGTTTTTAACAATTCAACTAATTTTTTATGAAGGTTTAATACGCAAATTATATAATACTTACAACAGATAGATCGACTGAGTCTCTTCTCTCCATTGTTGCTTGTATAGGAATTTGATTGTTCTCAGGTTCACAGAAGACCTGCATTGTCAATTCTTGCTCTTCGTAAAGTTTCAGTTTCCTGAGAAAATACAAACTTAAATAATTTAAAAAATTCTTCATTAAATTTTCTGTATCGTTAGCTAAAGCTTACTGTTCAATCCAAAGTGGGTTTTCTGTTGTGTTCAGGTCATCGATAACAGTCTTTTTAATGAGCATGTCTGACTGTTTCATATCAACTGGTTCAGATACGATCCTTTAAAAGTAGCATAATGTAAGTCATAAATCAATTCTATACTATCACTTGAATATTACAAAATTGAATATTTTTAAGCAGAATATGTATTCATCTTGCTAAAAATACTAGATACTTTCTAATGGTATTTTAACAATTTAAAAAAAGGTATGCTTTTTATAAAGGAATTTTTAATATAAAATTTAAGTAATAAATATTTTACCAATGTCGGAAACAGCAACAGACCACTATCACCGAAATACAACCAACAAATAATACAATTAAAAGAGCAATTAAAGCAGCTAGCGCAGGTTCAAAGGACGCTTCTTTAATTCCAACGTATGCAGGCTGTAATATAAAAAAACCTTATTTTCTAACTGCCCAGTCGATTTATTGTTGAATAAATTTTATACTACTAACCACTACATTTTCTATGGCAAATCCAGCATAATGGTCTTTTAAAAATTCATACTCGGTGTCAAAAATCTTAAGTATGTCTGGTATTGTTGAAATAGTTAGGGTCTTTTTATCAACAACATGCAAGTACATGTCACACCTAAAAGTTAAGGATTTTTTTATTTCTTATGATTTTCATTTTTTTTTTTTTTTTTTTTTTTAATCAACTTACCAGTCTTGCTGAATGCGACCAGATTCATCAACATGATATTTGATATCATCAATGACAACCAGTGCTTTTGTCGCATTGCTCAATTCCATTATTATTTGATTCTTTTCTCTGTGTACTTCTTCAGGCGGTCGAGATATAATAACACGGATAAGTTGTTGCTGTTCGTAAATCCATACCTAAAGTTTAAATTGACAAATTTAGCACAAACACACATAAAGTCTAAGGTTTGTTAAAATATCAACTTACATTAACATAGGCTTTAGCCTCTCGATATGGAGGTGCTTTTTCTTTAGCGACAACTTCCAATTTGAATCGTTCCTGATTGTACTCAGCAACTAAAGTGGCAGTTGTTAGTTTTCCAGTGTCACTGATAGTGAAAGGTTGCGGAACAACAGAGCCTGATGAAATATTTGCTCCAGCCCGATAAAGGTGGGAAGTCAGGATGGAATACGACAGAGATCCATTGAGCTCAGCATCTTTATCAGTAGCAGAGAGCTGGGCAACAAATTCACCAGTCCGTGCATTCACCGATACACCTGAGAAAAAGTTATTATCGAAAATCTAGTGAAACAAGTGAGAGAAAAAGGTGAATTTACAAACCAGCGTAATATTGAGATGTTTTAAACTCAGGCGCATTATCATTTTCATCTGTCACTATGACTTTAACATGAGCAAGTGATTCGCTTGGTTTTAAATCTTTGAGGTCAATGTTATCCTGAAAAAATATTCTTTTTTTTAAAGTCAACTTAATTATTTTTTAATATATTTCTTATTTTAAATATTTTCTATAAATAAATGTGTACTATTTTATTCAACCTTAAGTTACCTTAGCCAAATAATAATCAGGATCATTTGTAGCTTTAATAAATAAGTCATAAAATTCTTTTTCTTCCCTGTCCAATGTTGAATTTGTTGAAATCGAACCATCAGTCTTGTCAACTAAAAAGAGGGAGCTTGTATCACCAACCAAGTAATAATAGATCCTTGCATTGTCTCCTTCATCTTTATCCACAGCTTCCACCCGACCTAGAAATTGAAAATTTAAAAAAAATGTACTCAGTACTTTCAGAATTGTTTTGTTTATTACCTATCCTGGTGAGTGGAGGAGAGTTTTCTTTAATATAAAACATAATAGGATCTTTATTTGGAAATATAGGTGCATTGTCATCACTATCGAGAACAATAATTGTTAAGGTGCGTAGAGCTTCAAACCAATTTGGAGATCCATGGTCTTGAGCGACAAGAACCAGCTAAAAATATAATACATAAACATAAAATAAAACAGTTTGTTTGGATCATGTCAAAAAAAAAATTGTTTAAGCCAACTACCTGATATATAGATTTCATTTCTCTATCAAGGGGTTGTTTTGACCTGATTTCACCTGTATTCTCATCAATTGTGAAATACTCTGTCTCTTGTACATTTTCATTGTGCATTTTAAAATGATACGTGACACGGCCATTTTCTCCAGAGTCTCCATCAACTGCTTTTACAGTTGTCACCAAATTTCCGGCATCACTATTGTTCTACAATTGTTAAAAGAATATATTTATAACAATTGTGTTTATTGTTTAGAAAAATTCCATGTATTTTGTGTACTTCTTTAATGTAAACAGTTGAATTTCGATTTGAAGGTTCGACGAATGAAGGCTGGTTCATATTTATTGCTCGGACATTAATATTAATGACAGCATTGCTTACAAACTCCCCATCTGACACAGCGACCACTAGTGAGTAATTAGAACGACGTCCTTGAAGTGACAACCTTGGATATAAGGTGCCATTTATCGGATCAAGCATGAATACATCTGAAGAAAATTCAATTAAACAATAACAACAACAAAAAAATTTAATTTGAAACTATCAAAAAACAATACCTCCAATGTTTCCTGATACAATTGAATATGTTAAATTTGGTGATTCATCTTTATCAGTAGCTTTCAGTTGTACAATAGGAGCAGGAGGTGAAATCGGAATGGTCTCGGCAATATTTGCAGAGAGTTCATGTTGAGAAAACTGAGGCGTATTGTCATTTACATCAGTGACTTTTATATGTACCTTTAAAAACAAATAAATATACTCAACAAGAATACCATAATTTAAAAATTAATTAAAAGAAAAATTTACAGGTACTATGGTTGATCTTGCTTCATCGCCTGGAGCTCCGTCAACGGCGATAACTTTAACGGTGTACTCCTCATGAATTTCCCTGTCTAGATTCGCACCTGGCAAAACAGATATCTCTCCCGTTTCCGAGTCAATGCCAAAATTCAAATTGGGCTGTGAAAGGCTGTACGTCAGTTTCCCGGCATGGCCCATATCCATGTCCGTTGCTGACACTTTTCCAACAACAGTATAGGCCCTTGCATTTTCCGGAACTGAGAATGTGTATTCATTCTGTTTGGAAAATATTCACTTAATTAAGCAAGATTTTAAAGCGAGGAAAAGTTGGGAAATTTAGAAAATTATTGCCATTTCTAAAAATTCTATAATCATATTTTATGTCTGTTTGTGATTGCAATGTCTTTCTCTTGTTAGTATATAAGAGGGAGTATGAGAATGAAATGAGAATGTGTGTGTGTGTGTGTGTGTGTGTGTGTGTGTGAGAGAGAGGAGAGAGAGAGAGAGAGAGAGAGAGAGAGAGAGAGAGAGAGAGAGAGAAAGTAAGTGACCTCCCATGGCCCAGAAAAAAGAAAGTCTTTTAATTACCCACTAATTAATTGATGACTGTATAAAATAATTAATTAACTAGTAAAAAGTTTATTACTAAGTTGCTTCTTAATCAAATGTTAGTTTGTACATTTAAGACTCCGGATAGTACATCAGTAATTAAATTAATGGGAAGCACTTTCCAAATTAAACAGTTTTACTCTCATGAGTTGTTTTTTTAATCATTAAATTATTTTAATGGTTGCATTATTAAATTGAATAAACTAAAAAATTATATGTTCATTAATTATCAATCAGAGATTTGCACAAAAACTAAATAGGATAGAAAGAAATTATCATACAATGGCAAAGTATTTATAAACAACAAAAACACAATTTTTAATAGTTTTTTCTGCTATGTAACTTTACTAGTAAAAGTATATATTTTAATCCAAAAATAAGAAAGATATTTTAAATTACTTACTTGATCAAAAACCGGATCCATATCATTGATGTTAACAATGTTGACAGATATGTGCGCTGTGGAAGACAACTGTGGGATCCCAGAATCGTAAGCCACAATTTTAAATTTTAAATAAGGCGTTTTCTCATAATCCAATCGGACTTTTGTCTTGACTACTCCAGTGATGTTGTTAATTTCAAAATATTCGCTTTCAGGGACGATAGCGTACGTAATGCTGTTAGAATCTTGATCAATTGCAGTAAATGTTCCGACGATAGTGTTCGGAGGTTGTTCTTCAAGAAGTTCAACATTATAATTTGGATTTGAAATGGTCCAAGGTTTGAGGAAAGTTGGAGCGAAATCATTGACATCGATAATAGTGATTATTAGAGTTCCTACAATTCATATAGTGTTAATTATTTTAAAAAGTTATACATCTGATATGAAATTTTACCTGTTCCTTGTTGAGTAGTAGGTGCTGTAATGTCAGTAACCAGTACTGTAATACTTACAATTGCAGCAATCTCCCGCTGCAGCGGCCTTGCAACAGTTACAACACCATTTTCTTGGTTTACATTGAAAAATTCCTAGAAAAAAAATTCAATTTTTAACATTTAAACTTAAGAAAAACATATATTAATAAGAAAAATATTACTTTAAAAGTTGTGTCATCAGTAACTTCTTTTCCATTTTTGTCGATAGCTGTTATTGGTTCACTGGCAGCAAAATTTAAAGCATTTAGCGAATTGACATCTAAATCTTTGGCTACTAGCCTGTAAACCACCTCCCCAACTTCAGCATCTTCTTTGATCTAGTCAATGTTATAATTTTAGCAATACAATTATCTTTACTAATTGACATTTAAAATTCACATCGGATTGTAAACCTACCTCTGCTCTTTGCGTCGAAGGATCAAAAAATGGGATTTTATCATTTGTATTTCCAAGTTTGATGTTCAATGTAGTAGTTCCTGTTAAAGCTGGAGTTCCTGAAAGAAAACCAGAATAAAAAAAAAATGTTTTTAATGATGACTATTTAATATAGGTAAAGACAAGGTGGCTAAGGCCGGGATGTCCCAACCTCCATCTGGCCTCTTGAAGACGCAATAAAAGACGTGAAATAAAGAAGCATCCAGGCCAATGGGTTGGATGCTCAGAGAAACTCTTGTGTCTCAAGATAGGTGGCCTGTCTTGTAAAAGAGTTATCCTCACCAAATTATTATTATTAAGTATCCAAGTATGTGTTTACATACAGATAATTATTTTTGGGCCTAGCATGCAGAGAAAGGTTGCACAATGTGTATTGCTTAATTGAAGGGTGTCACTCCCTGGCTCCCTACAGAGAGCTTGTAGGAATGCCACATAATGTGAGAATTGTGCTTCAGCACCGCAGTTGGTATTTGAGCCCCATGTTCCAATTCTTAGGTTGGGGGCAGTTTTATTGTAGATAATACTGATAGTTTTGTGTCCCTAGCGTGGGTTGAGAGTGAAAGTATTTATTGGGGTGAATGTGTAGTATGAGAGGGGAGGTGGACTACTACCTATCGACCTTCAATTAAAATTCTGCTTATTTTGATACATTCGGTAATACAAAATATTTTTCATAACAGGGGAGGAAAGTGCATGCAATCGAAATGGAGCCACTTCCCCTCTTTATAATTCAACTTTTTCTTTGTAATGTTAATCTAAATTTCCACATATTGTTAACTTCCTTACAGCCAAAAATTTCTTAGAATGTTCTCTAGTTTGTTCTGTTGGTCAATGAGTATTTTTTCAATGTGTTCTCAGTACCGGTCACTTTGGAAAATCATTTAAACAAAGGATGCCAGGCACATTAAACAAACACTGCTTCACCATTTTTTTAGTAATGCGTAACAATGTTCAATTTAAAGTTGATCTATTTTTGCTTTTTCGTTAATTTAAAGTAATAACTTGGAAAAACACGTATAAAAGCTTAATATTTTTTGCTTTCCTCTTGATAATTCATATTAGTTTTGTCGTCCCAAGAGTTTCAAATGATCAAGAGTAGACTGAAAAGGATGTAAAGGGTGATGGAGGAATATCAAGTACTCCACCGTAAAACTGAGTGAATGGTATGTAAATAGGAAAGAATGAATTTAATAGTGAGTAAAATGTGAAAGGGTTTGGATTGAGTGACTAATTGCGTTGGGGGCTGAAATGACCTGGAGCCTAACCTGGCTGTTGGACAGATAAGACCCAGGATTGACCTCAGACTACCGACACTGAACATAGGTGATTCTTGAGGCCTGCTGGTAATTCTTGTAAACTACAAAAGCTAGAATAACCGGAGGATTTCTAATAAGTGATAAGCCCATTTGTATATGTACATGCATTGCAGATTTGAGCGTACATAAATCAATAATTTAATACAGGTACAGCTAGATGCTGATAGGTATTCTTTCACACAAAATTAAAAAAGTTATTGCTAATTTAAGCATGTATCATTTATGACTTAATGGCTTGTTCACCTCTGCTCGACTGGGTCTTCCCTATTCTCTTTTATTTGTTTTTACTCTAGGCCTAATCACAAAATCTAAATCATAACATTGTCACTTTGAAATGTGACACATGTAACTTGCTAGGAAACGTAAAAATCACATGTCTAAAATAATTTTACTTCTTGGTTGTGGCTGTCATACCCTTGGCTTGCCACCAAGGCCATAAGCAAACTTTTTAAGTCAAAAAATCACATTAACATTACAAGAAAAAATAATATGAATGAAGAATTCAAAATTTTTAATTAATGTATTACTTACGACACAAATTCAGAAAGAAAGGTATAGTCTGTAGTACATTTAATAGATCATAAAAATAATTTAATTAAAATATATAATAGAAATTTTATTATAACTGACGTAGTCGCTAGATAACTATAAAATAATAGGATAATGCAAATGTTACCAAAATTTTCTTTAATTTACCTCCATCTATTGCAATTATGTGAATTGAGTATGAATTCATTCTGTCAAAATCTAACTTGGACGTCACACCAATCACGCCTGTTTTATTGTCTATTCCAAAATCATCAAAAGCGCCCTTTTCAATTCGGTATAAAACTTCTGCGTTGATCCCTGTATCAGCATCATGAGCAACAACTTTGGCCACGCTAGAACCTGAAAAGACAAAACAGTTTATACCCAAGTTTAAAATTAATCTAATTATGTAAATAAACACCTATTGGTGTATCTTCAAGTACGTTAATGTTGTATTCAGCCTGCTCGAATACAGGATTATTATTGTTGACATCAAGAACGGTGATATCAACTGAGGTGGTGTCGTTGAAAACGCCATCGAATGCTCTGACAGTGAGATGGATCATATCAGTCGTAACATTTGTCATATCGAGACCGCGTTTGTCCCTTACAAGTATCTCCCCAGTTTTTGAGTCAATTGTGAACAAGTTGTTGACATTCCCATCAGTAATTGAGTATTCAATTTCTGATGTTTTATCAATATCCTTTGCCTGTAATTGCAACAGTGTGTAAATTATCTTGTGAAAGTTTCTCAGCTAATTAACATACTTGGACTATTAAAGGTGGTTCAAATTTTGCAAAGCCTTCATCAATAATAGCTTTGTATTGGTTTGAAACAAACACCGGAGGATTGTCGTTGTTGTCATTTAATGTTATTTTGAGTGAGACTACTCTGCTTAGCCCCCTTCCTTCATCATCAGTAGCTTTGTAATTCAAAAAATATACTGGATTGGTTTCAAAATCCAAGCAGCGAGGGGAGCCAGGAAGTTCACAAGGTGCAACTGTTATTTGTCCTGTTTTCTTATTCACATTAAACCTGAAATTTGAAATATCTGTATAGATACCAATTTTTTATATATTTATTAAATGTTTATCATACTTTTCCGCTCCTTGCCCAATCAGTTGATAGACGATTCCTCTAGTCCCATAGAGACCAGAATCACCGTCACTTGCAGTTATTGTTGTAACTGGATCACCGGCAAAAGCAGTTTCATCAACCATAGCATTATAAGATTCATGGTCGAATTGAGGATGATTATCATTTGCATCAGTTACTTCAATTGTAACTGTCGCAGTTGAAGATAATTTATTTGTTGTTTCAGTTTCTTCAGCAATTACCTAAAACAGAACAATTTTTTTTTTTAATTATCACCCTAAATACCAAGTATATTTAGTTAATATAATTGAAGTTAAACATTTAAATAATCTTACAAGTATTATAAATTTTCGGTTATTTGGATTTTCATAATCTAGAGGCCCATTTACAATCCTGATGCTGACGGCTGTAAAACCAGAACCTGTACTGGGTTCGACTGCAAAGGCTCCTGATACATCAGAAAGCCGAAGGGCAAACTTGGAATGTGGCCCCTGTATAAAATATTTAGTTAATAAAAAAATTATTAAAATTATTTTATATTAATATAGAAAATAAATTACAATATCAGAATCAGTGACAGTCATATTAAAATTAGGCAGTGGCGTCCCTAATGGTATATTTTCTGGGATTTGCACCATGTACTCCTTTTGGTTAAACCTCGGGGGTTCGTCGTTTACATCTTTAATTGTTACAGATGCCATGGTTTTAGATGTAGTGAGAGGATCATTTCCTGGTATACCATTTACCACTTCTCTCGCCTAAAAAATTACGTAGAATTACAAATAAATTTAAACTAGATGGTTAGACGTTAAGCCTCATTTTATTTGTTACTCCTAAAATTACTATACTTTTACAAATTGAAACATGCACTAACCAAGATTTCTAATTTAAGAATTCCGGTTGTTTCCTGTAGAGCTTCTCGATCTAAAGGTTTGGCTGTTTTTAATTCACCAGTGTCTCGGTCAAGTAAGAAGTAATCCAGCGGATCTAGAAGACAAGGACGTTACTCACGACTTGACAAGAGGACATTTTAAATACTTACTTGTTAGCAGTTCATAAACAATTTTCCTCGGGACTCCTCTATCACCGTCTTTCGCTTGAACGGTCATGACTAAGGTTCCAATAGGGTCATCCTCTTTGATGACACCTGTAAGTGATCCTTGGAATACTGGTGGGGTGTCTTGAACATCTTCAACTTTAATTTCAAGCCCTGTTGTTGCATTATGATTTCCATCCTGTTTTAACACATTAAAATGAATATTAAAAAAAGATTTTATACAAATTTGTAAAAGTTGTGTTTTTTAATAATGTTGTTGAAGAAATAATCAGCTAGTTTTATAATAGATAGATTTTTAATTTTCAAGAATTTAATGGCTAAAAACTAGATTAATGCAAAAGTTTAACATTTATTTATGCACTAGAAAAGGAGTAACATGATATATCGTCCAAAAACAAATAAAATAACTACATATTCATTAGAAAACCTTAATCATCTTATTCATTAATGAAAAAATGGCATTTTGATACAAATACATACAGTGGCAATTAGCAGGAGTTGGTAGAATTGTCTGTCAGCGTAATTTAACTTGTCCTTAAGGACAATCCCGCCACTGTAGTTCTGCTGACTTGATGTATATGTGACAATATCAAATTTTTCACATGCGTTTGGAAACTGAAACACATTTTGACGTATATTACATATGTCTATATGACATTTCTAATCTTTGTTCTGTCCTGCAATTTAAAATCAACTCACTTGTTCATAATCTTTACAGTAGACATTAAGCACTTCCCCTGTTAAATCTGAATCTTCGACCAATAATCCATCGAACAGCGTGCTCTCTACAAGTGTATCTTCAGTGACTAGTACTTCATATGGAGTCTGATAGAAAAAAATTAATATTAATTGCAATTAGGCATATGTTGTACTAAAATGTTTAATTCTGAATAGGACTTACATTTTTAAAACTTGGTGGGTTATCATTGACATCAAGAATGATAACAGAGACTTGTATTTTAACTAAATTATTAACATCATCCTCCAAAGTTACAAAGAATCTAAGCGTATCATTTACCTAAAATAACAATAATATTATTAAAAATTATTAAAACCAAATGTCCAATTAGAGAGAGAGAAAACCACTTACTTCATAATCTAATGGTTTGACCAAGGTGACTTCACCAGTTTTGGAGTCAACTTGGAACTTGTCAGTTCCAGATATTCCATATCGTACTTCAGCCCCTTCAGGATCCTCGCCCTGCAAAGTAGCAACGACTTTCCCAACTGATTCATTTTCAAAGAGGATCGTGTTGTCCATGTCATGAGTAAAGAGAGGAGGCTGATTTCCATAAGCCCCTGAGAAAAATTATATTATCATTAAATGGATACTAATTCTACTCTAACTCCATGCAGTTTGATAAATCAAACTCACCTCCAATGACTACTGCCAAGAAAAGACATAGTAAAGCTGAAAATGCCTTTTCCATTCTGCATCTCCTATTAACAAAGAAAGAATGTCCAAATTAATTTTTCGCCAGTCACCTTGCTGAAATTTTAAATCCAAATGAAAATATCAATGGCAGTTTACTTGAAGTAATAACCACTCCACAAGGAGAAAGTATAAAGTAGTTACACCAAAAGAAATAGCACAAGAAATTAAAAATTTACCTGTTAAATAGACTAGGGTATGACCTTATTACTAGAGAAATACTAAAAAAATGGCCGGAAAAGAGGATAGTTACACTAATATAACTATTTAATGCTGCAATCAGACTGAATTATTTTCCCAGCATCTAGAAATCTGCAGAAGTCATTATGATTTAAGAAAAAAAAAAGGAATGGGGTCAAATTATATCGACCAATATCTCTACTACCGATAGTCTCTAAAGTTTTCAAATTATTAATAAAAAGAAAACCATTGTAGAAAAAAAGAAAATCATCCCTGACCACCAATTTAGATTCTGAAGAAGACATTCAACATAAGATTAATTTCACCGAGTAATGGACATAATAGAAAAATCTCTCGAAGAAAAACAAATTTGTTCTGATAGCTTCTTTGATGTCTCACAAGCCTTTGACAAGGTCTGGCATGAAGGAATCATCAATAAAGTAAAAGGGATGCTACAAAAGCAGTATGTAGATATTGTCAGTTCCTACCTAACTGGCAGACGTTTTAGAGTCAAACAAGAAGATCAATATCCAGAATTAAAAACAATAAATACAGGAGTGACACATGGTAGCATATTTACTCCACTGCTTTACTTGTTATACAGTAGTGATTTTCCGAAAAGTGATGGAGTAAAATTGCAATGTTTGCAGATGACACAGTGGTGATATCAGTAAGATGGACCATCAATCATTCAACCAAAATCCTTCAAAAGGCTTGTATTAAGATAAATGAATGAACAAAAAATGGAGAATCAAGCTCAATCAGCATAAATCAGTTCATTTAAACTGTCTAAACAACAAAGCAGACCATTATCTTTCACAATCGATGGAACTATTATACCGTACGACAATACAGCTAAGTACCTGGGAATGACCTAAGATACCAAGCTGGAAAGAACATGTGAAGAAAAAAAGGACAGAAATAGGTTTAAGGTGAAGACAACTATACCGGTTGATAGGACGCGGCTCCGACCTTATTATACAAAATAAAATTTTACCTACAAGTCCTAAAGCCTATGTGGAAATATGGTATTCAGCTAGGGAGTTGTACCAAAAACAGCAATATTTAAAATTATACAAACACTCCAAAATAAAATCTTACATAACATGGTTAATGTACCTTGGTACATAAGGAATAAGGACTTACTTAGGGATCTTCAGATCCCTGAGATCACAGTGGAAATACAAAGATTTGCTGCCAAACACCAGACTCGCCTCAGCTAGCGCGAGAATGTGGATGCGACCAAACTACTACATAATCGAAACATCGTACGAAATTAAAAAGTACAAAGCTATAAGAGCTAGAGCAGTTAAAATTTTTGTGAGTAGTGAAGTGTAAATAATTAATGGTTCGTCTAATAAGACCAGTTTAAAAAACACAAAATTAATAATAATATAATAATAATTTTTTTACGAAAGTTTGCAACAGCAGAGGTCATATCACCCTCAGGGTGCCAGTGTTTTTAAAAAAAAAGCCGATTTGTAAGTATGTCGGGTTGAAATGCAGGGCCGCTGGATTTGAACCCAGGATCTTCACCGTAATGAGCACCGTGTCAATGATAATAATAATAATAATTACAAATAGAATATTATATATATTCCTTTCTTTATTAATTAAAAAAAAATACTTGCATCAAATATGTTGTATAATTCTTGACAGACTACTCACTTATACTAAAACTTATATTAAAAAATGTCACTGAAGATGGTCTATATTAGACCGAAACGTATCTTACGAAATAAATGTCTATTGTGGAAAAGACAATTTATTTCCTACCCATCTTAATTTGGAGTTCCACAAATCAGGATGGACCCCATCAAAAAATAAATTTGAATGAATCGCCTTTACAATATGTGTGCCCTAATAATATTTTTAATATAAGCCAATTTATTTTTGCACTGTACAGCAATTGCAAAATTTCCTGAAAAATTTTCACAAAATAGATATTAATTTTACAATGTACCAATAAAATGTACAAAATTACACCGTCCATCATTGTGCATCAGGATGCTTAGGAATGTAATGTAACTGTAATCTATTGCCTACTGCTGAAACATTTTAGTTATTTCTTTAACTAGCCAATTGGACAAAATGTCCGCTATGGCACTAGAAATTTTTAATTTATAAAGTGCAATACCATCGAAGTTACTGTTTTGTATTACTCGTACTTAAATAATAATTATTCACGATCAAAATGCGGAAATGTAAACGTGGTGTGAACGCTCTTCAGACCCGAGGTGTACCGTTGCTCACGTGTCCGGATTGCCATCTTAAGGCCAATGAACCAAACCTTTTTTATTTTTCCTTTTGTCTTTTCCCTTTTATACACGGAGCTCTTAATTGCTAAATTACACGTTTGAAAGTTTAACAGCGGCAAGTTATACCTGATGGCCCGACGTCAAAATAACACCGGGCACGTTTCTGTTCTCTCAGGCATCAATTTCTACGTCGGTGGTTACGAAATCAAAATATTCACACGAACCCATAGTCGATAGAGGCAATTTTTCCGTATTAATTGTACTTTAACGTATGTAAGTTGAAAGGGTAAATAAAAACATTGAATATTTTTTTCCTGTTGTTTCAGTTATCAAGTTATATCAACTGGTGTTACTAGTTATCTCTTCAGACCTCACTGTCTTCAAACAGATGAATAACTGAAAATGTAAAGACAAAAACGGGAATTAATAAAAGAATTGTGTAATAGGAGCAAATCGTTCTATTGCCAAGCTTTACGTGATCAGCACCACAATAAGATCCGAACATTCCTGAATTCCTTCCAACCAATTATCTTATCTATTATTAAAAACTACGCAAGTAAACAACGAACCTAATAGCCAAATATAGACACAGAAGATCAGATTTTACCTATGTTAAAAAAAAATCCTAAAGTGCATCCAACTTCAAATGCCAGGCGATCATGAGCCTGCTCATTTATCTAAGCAGAATGAATAATCTACATCCTCGCATCTATGCCGTCAGTCTTCGCACATGGGAATAGATAAAACGTCAATTTTACGTATTTTTATAACTTGTTATTATTTTAACTTTGTTTATGTGATTGTGAGATTTTCCATTTGCGAGGTGATGACGTTGTTAGTCGTTTCCGTTTGTTGAGGTCGTTTTTAGTCTTTAGTAAGATATACGTAGACCTACCAGCTAAGAAGACGGGAGGTCGAAACGCGTCTGAAAGACCAAACTACCGATTTGTTTACCCACTTATTTAATAATGTTAAATTTTTGGTCTGATTATTTTGTAGGTTTTAACCAAACGAACAAAAGATGTTTTTCGGGGTTCACAACAGCAGAGGTCATATCAACCCTTGGGTTGCCCGGTGTTTTCGAAAAAAAGCCCATTTGTAAGTATGTCGGGTTTGATGATGAGGGCCGTTTCTTTATCTGTCGCGCCCCCTCACAAAATTTTACTTATTATTTTGGTAGTTTAAAAGCTAAATCATATTTACAAATCTGTTCCTATGTGCTTGTACCTCAAGTTACACTGACATAAAATCTTCATATCATCAGACAACCAAGAAGTCCAAAATGCATTAGCACATAAAAAGGTAACAACCAAAATCTGGGAAAGAGGGCACGAAATAGTGTCGAGTAATGACCAAGCGTACAAACTAGTCAGGAAGAACTGCAAGGCCGTACATAGTCCCAGAACTTGGGAGAAAACAACCATAGACTCCTCCACCTCAGAATGGGTTCACAAAAACCGAAGAGACGTGGACGGACACATAAATCTTCAAAACCTCGTCGCCACAGCATGAAATTTCAAAAACGGCGCTCCCAGAAAACAGTTGCATCAACATTCTTCTCAAACCGCGTCGTAGAAAATTGGAATAATTTGCCTTCAAATGTCATCGACCCAACATCACTTGTCATTAAAATCGAATCTTGACAATCTTCAATAAAAAATTCCTAACTTTTTATTAATTTAGTATATTTTAATTGGAATATTATTGTGAAATTTGATTACCAATTAATATTATATTAATTGTAAATTTGTATGTAAGTTGAATCTAATTGTTTGCTTCATAACATGTTGAGTGTTTATCGGCATTTACGTCGCTTACTCACACAAAAATCACAATAAAATATAAAATAAACTCCAGAGGTGCCAGACCTAGGAACTCATGATTAAAGACCCCCACCAAAACTGTCAAAGCACAATGTGTTAAAACTTTTTATTAACAGTAAATCAATAAAATATATACAAGTAAAACTAAAAATAACATAAAATACATGTTCCCTCTATATGGCATGGTAATAAACCATCTGACGAGCAAAGCTTATTGTCACTTAGACAGAGTAAACCCCGGGGAGTGATAGGACTATGTATCGGTCACTGTCCGAGAAAACACCTAAACAACATTTTGAGTTGACATTTTTTCGGCTATTAATGTTTTTATACGGAGACTTCGGGATCTTGTCGTAAAGTGAAGAGTCCACTGAAGCTGCTTTGGCTAATTTATCAGCTTCTTCGTTTCCCTTAATTCCAATGTGGCTCTTCAACCAATAGATACATATTGTACAGCCGTACGCTCTAATTTTTAACATTGTACTAGGTTAAAATGTTTGTATTATAGTATGTCTATTGAAACTTTACTATCGGTCCAAATATTGAATCCTTTGGAGTGTCCAAATGGGTTCTTTTGTTGCATATAATCAATAGTCCATTCTAGACTTTTCATGATCGCAAATCTTTCTGCTTGGTTCTTGCTGCAGTTCTCTCCCAGTCTGAAGGTGTCGTTCTTTTATGTTGATCGGCCCATCATATTCTCAAGATCCGATAGATTTCCACTTTCCACTTGTATGTCTATTGTCA